TCTGACTCGGCAAACAAGGTAAACTAGACATCATCGTTGGCCTATTCTATTCATTGAACTCAGCAGAGGTTACCATGGAGAGAAAGTAGGATAAGCATGTTCATTCACTCATTCAACCAACATTTACTGAACCCAGACTGTATGCTAACTTATAACTGTAAACAAGACTGTACCTTATAGAGTCTGCAGAGAAAGGCAGGCACTGTATGTGGAAGCAATGGAGGATGAGGCATGAAGAATTAGGGTCCATGGCAGACCTCATAGCCATCTCCCACTTTCTTGCAAAGTACGAAGAGCTTCCGGATGGCTGAACACATGGAGCTTCTGGAGGGTGGCGCATGTAGGGAGGGCACGTGAGATCTGCATCCCTTCCCCACACCTCACCCTACACAGCTCTTCATCTCTATCCATTATTAAGACCCTTTATTTTTGTTTGTTTGGTTTTTTGAAACAGAGTCGCGCTCTGTCGCCCAGGTTGGAGTGCAGTGGTGCGATCTCAGCTCACTGCAACCTGCAATTCCTGGGTTTAAGTGATTCTCCTACCTCAGCCTCCTGAATAGCTGGGATTACAGGAGTGCACCACCACGCCTGGCTAAGTTTTGTATTTTTAGTAGAGATGGGGTTTCACCATGTTGGCCAGGCTGGTCTCAAATTCCTGACCTCAAGTGATCTGCCCACCTCGGGCTCCCAATGTGCTGGGATTACGGGCATGAGCCACCACACCAGGGCTGTAACATCCTTTATGAGAAACCGGTAAACCTAAAAACATGTTTCCCTCAGTTCTGCGAGCTGCTCTAGCAAATGAATCAAACCCAGGACACTCATATCTAGCTGCCTGGTCAGACGCACAGGTAGAGGAACCTGGGGCTTGCAATTGACATCAGGGTGGGGGGCAGTCTTTGTGAGACTGAGCCCTCAAGCTATGGGATCTGATGCTCCTCCAGGTAGACTGAATTGGACTGGAGGACCCTCAGCTGGCGTCTGCTGCAGAATGGATCGCTTCTTGGTGGGAAGAAAACCCCACACATGTGGTTACAGAGGTCTTCTGTGTTGACTGTGGTGGTATGAGAGCAGAGGAAAAATGGTATTTTTTCCACTTACACAGACATAAAAGAATACATACTATGTAACTCCACTTATATGAAACTCTAGAACTGATAAAACTAAACTAAGAAAGGGACAAGAGAAACCTTTCTGGGGAATGAAAGTGTTCCATGTTTTGAATGGAGTGATGGTGAAATAGGTGTAACCATTTATCAAAATTTGCCAAGCTGTACACTTAAAATCTATACATTTTCCGAGGTGGGCAGATCACAAGGTCAGGAGATCGAGACCACGGTGAAACCCCGTCTCTACTAAAAATACAAAAAATTAGCTGGGTGTGGTGGCGGGCGCCTGTAGTCCCAGCTACTCAGGAGACTGAGGCAGGAGAATGGCATGAACCCGGGAGGTGGAGCTTGCAGTGAGCTGAGATCGCACCACTGCACTCCAGCCTGGGCAACAGAGGGAGACTCCATCTCAAAAAAAAAAAAAAAATCTATACATTTTATCATAAATGTACCTCATTTAAATTAAACTTAAAATTTTCAAGTTTTTATCTGTAAAAGTAACCTAATCTAAAATTACTAACCTTTCAAAATTCTCAACAGATTGTGAGTTTTCGAAAAGGCTCAACAGACAATGCTTCTCTCAACCTGAGCAAATGACATCTTCATTCATCTAGTCGTTCTATCAGAAATCAGAGAGGAATTCTTGACACATCCCTGTCTTCAAGTTCTGAAGGTGCAAGCTCCCCATCTTCTGAAACCCACTTCCTCCCCCCGCCACTGTCACCATCTTAGTTCAAGCCACTAGCAGGTCTCACCCAGTCCAATGCAATATCCTCCTAACCTGTCTTCCATTTCCACAGTCACCTGACACTGCCCGGAAACTGAAATCTGATCAAGTCATTCTCTTGCTCAGAGCCCTTCAACGCCTTCCTGACATTCTCAGAATAAATTCCAGCATCTTTAACATGACTCCCACACACACCCCTAACCTTAACTGTCCTCCCCCATGTCATCAACTGTGAATCTCATGCCACTTACCCTTCTCTCACTCCCCATACTCTAGCTACATGACCTTTTCCAAGCTTCTTGTATGTCAAGATCTTCCAGGCCTAGAGCCTTCATTAATGCTCTTCCCCTCATCTGGAAGATTCTTCCCTTCGCCTTCAACTGACCACATTTCTCCAATCTTCACATCTCAGAAGCTCCAAAGATCCTTCTTCAGAGCACTCCCTGACCCTCCTCGCGGTCCTCAGCTCTCCCAGCAATTTAAGGGCAATGACCCCCCCATTTTCTGCACAGCACTTATCCCAGTTTTCATTACATATTCTCTTGTGTGTTTGCTATGTTCACCTAAGATTAATGATAATAAAAGTAGTTGCATGTCTTAAGAGCATACAATATACTGGGCATTAGACTGACCATTTTACATATTATCACTTTTTATCTTTGCAATGACCCTATAAAGTAAGTTCTATACTGTCATTTGCCCCATATTCAGACAAGAAAACTGAGGCACAGAGGGAAGGACTAGAAAATAGCAAAGATATACTTAAAATTAGGTCGTCTGACTAACGAAACAGCACTATGCCATGTCGGCTTTCACAAAATACGAAGCTTTACTGTCAACTCCAAAAGGGCAGGATCCCTATGTGATTTGTGGCTTACTGTAAAGCATCATATCGCATTGTTTAACAGTATTTTTTTTTTTTTTTGAGATGAAGTTTAGCTCTTGTCGCCCAGGCTGGAGTGCAACGGCACGATCTTGGCTCACTGCAACCTCCGCCTCCTGCGTTCAAGCAATTCTCCTGCCTCAGCCTCCTGAGTAGTTGGAATCACAGGTGCCCACCACCAGGTCCAGCTAATTTTTGTGTTTTTAGTAGAGATGGGGTTTCACCATGTTGCTCCGGCTGGTCTTGAACTCCTGACTTCAGGTGCTCCACCCACCTCGGCCTCTCAAAGTGCTAGGATTACAGGCATGAGCCACCGCGCCCGGCCCTGTTTCACAGTATTTAACATCAGTGATTGCTTAAGCCAGAGGCCATGCAAACATCTGGCCAGTGAGAATCATCATAGGAGCTCTTCAATATGTTTACCCTACTGAGATTTACCAATTATTTTCTAATATTAAAAGCTATTTTACTTATAGTCTCATTTATATAAGCTTATTATTTATAAGCTCATTTACAAAGCAAATAGGTATATGTATTTGAGAATAATAAAACTGGCCGGGCATAGTGGCTCACGCCTGTAATCCCAACACTTCGGGAGGCTGAAGCGAGTGGATCACCTAAGGTCAGGAGTTCAAGACAGCCCGGCCAACGTGGTGAAACCCCATCTCTACTAAAAATACAAAAATTAGCTGTGTATGGTGGCACATGCCTGTTGTCCCAGCTAGCTGGGAAGCTGTGGCAAGAGAATCAATGGGAGGCAGAGGTTGCAGTGAGCTGAGATTGAGCCATTCCACTCCAACCTGAGTGACAGAGCAAAACTCCATCTTAAAAAAAAAAAAAAAAAGTCCGGGCGCAGTGGCTCATGTCTGTAATCCCAGCACTTTGGGAGGCCGAGGAAGGCAGATCACAAGGTCAGGAGATTGAGTAAAACCCCGTCTCTAGTAAACATACAAAAAATTAGCCAGGCCTGGTGGCGGGCATCTGTAGTCCCAGCTACTTGGGAGGCTGAGGCAGGAGAATCACTTGAACTCACTTGAGGCAGAGGTTGCAGTGAGCAATTAGCCGGACGAGGTGGCAGGCACCTGTAGTCCCAGCTGCTCGGGAGGCTGAGGCAGGAGAATGGCGCAAACCCGGGAGGCGGAGCTTGCAGTGAGCCAAGATCACGCCACTGCACTCCAGCCTGGGCGACAGAGTGAGACTCCGTCTCAAAAGAAAAACAAAACAAAAAAAATTGTATCTGTAAATATCCTAAAGTTGAGACTTGCCTGACTTTCCTACTGTTTCCTTAGCCTCAAATTACTCAAAGTTAATGAGGCGCTACATTAACAATTTTCTGGTGATTGAGGCTCTATGAATACCAAAAACAGAAATATAATCCAGAAAGCCGCATTCAAAACCCAACAGGCAAAAATATGGGGTCCACTTAGTGTTACTGAAAACACACAATCCTTACTCTATTTCTAGAGTTCCTTCAGCCAACACATGTTTATCAAGCACCTCTGCTGTGTCAGGCACTGTCCCACCAGCTGGGGTGAACAAATGGGCCACGTCCCTGTTTTCATGAAACTGCATTCTAATGGAACAATTAACAACTGTCAGGTGGAAGTAAGTGTGATGCAGAAAACTGAAGGGAGGTCAGGGCATAGGGTTACTGTCAGGCTATTTTAGAAAGGCTGGTGAGGGCTGAACACTCATAACGTGACTTCTGAGCAGACTCGAATGAAAAAATGAGAACTTCACTAAATCCTATGATTCTTCAATGTTTTCAAGTTTGCATCCAAAAGACTGAAACACAGTAACTTCTTCCCTTTATTCTATAAATAGGCAAACTACCTGAACGGCTTCTAGAAAGTGGAGGTGGGGCCACGGTAGGTCAATTGTGGGGAAGAAAATGTTGAGGAATGAAATGATAAAGCCTAGTAAAGCTTTCTATTTGTAACAATGAATTTTTAATCGTCAAAACTGAAGGATCTCAAAGAATTTTAATGTGCACTTCCCCCACCCTGCTACCTTCAGAAGGAAAAGTTGTCATCATAACTGTTTTCTAAAGACAGAGATGAAAGGAACTGCTCAATACAACTTGTCATTATTAGAGGGAAAAGTACTTAATGCTGAAAATATTAAGTAAGCATTGACAAGGAATATGAGATAAAGATCAGCACATCATTTTGGCTAGGAGAGAAAAAGAGCTAAAGGGAGAGAATGGTGCCTAAGCTAATTCATTCATTTTATGTGCTTCTTTATGATAAAGTTTAATAAATTTTTTTCTAAAATACTTTACCTTCCTGAAACCACCAGAGTTCCATCATCGAGTAAATAATCCTTCACATTCTGAGGAAGTGGAAGAATGACACTAAAAAAAAAAAAAAAAAAAAAAAAAACACACACCAAAAAAGGCATCATTTTAAAAGATCAACTATAAGCAGAGAGAAAAATGTCCACCCTTTATTGACTTTGGATTTACTTATTTCAATATAATACAAATGTATTTAATATAAAGTAGAAAATGTTAATGATGTATATTTGGTAGCAGCAGACAAGGAATTAGAATAATATGATTAAATACTGCGGTTCACCTTATTGCCACAAAAACCAGCCAAATCCAAACAATCAGATGGAAATCACAGTATGAAAGCAACAAGCTCAAAAGGATTCTGAGTGAGCATAACATTTCTGTGTCTTTAAGAAATCAGAGACCAGCAGATATTTGCTGCAACACAGGAAATGCAGCAAAACAAACCAGAAGATGACTAGCGTTTGGTCACCTTCTAAAGATAGAGGGCAGAAGTAGAGTCAAGATCTGGAAACCATTTTTGGGTTGGCAATGAGCACCCACAGCTAAGAATTCATGATACTTTCGGATGTGTCTTGCTGTCATTCTATTCAGCTGATCACCAGAAATAAAGGTTGCTTAAACTGGGCATGCTTTAGCTTAATTTGTTTCAGATAATCATAATTAAGGATGGCAAAGTCATATTTGAAGTCTCTTAAAAACTTATGGGATAATTTGTTTTTTACCTTGAAATAATAAATTATCAAAAAGCCCTACCACAGATACCTAAGAGTGCTGGTATTATTTTGATCTTGAGGCATATACATCTTCAAAAAGTGGAAAAGCTTACAGCCTGCTTTCAGGAAGTTAACACAACATCAGTGACTTATGTCTCATTTATTTATGGAGTAAGTTTTTTTTGGCACATTACAAATGATTTTGTGCACAAAAAAAAGAGTATTCATGGGCTACTTCGGTTTTAAAAATAAATATTTGATTTATCAAAAGTACGATTTCACATTCAAAAATCTAGTTCTGGCCGAGCGTGGTGGCTCACACCTGTAATCCCAGCACTTTGGGAGGCCGAGGCGGGAGGATCACGAGGTCAGGAAATCAAGACCATCCTGGCTAACACGGTGAAACCCCGTCTCTACTAAAAATACAAAAAATTAGCCGGGGGTGGTGGCGGGCGCCTGTAGTCCCAGCTACTCGGGAAGCTGTGGCAGGAGAATGGCGTGAACTCCAGAGGCGAAGTTTGTAGTGAGCCAAGATCGCTGCCACTGCAATCTAGCCTGGGCGACAGAGCAAAACTCCGTCAAAAAAAAAAAAAAAAAAAAAAATCTAGTTCTTCCTCAGGCTTTCAATTTCATCTAACAAATCTTATTATGTTTGAAAATCTACTAAATTTTAATCAATTTCATGTGAAATTTTGTAACTTAAAAGTCTCTTTAAAAATTTAAATTCTATTTATACACTACTCAATTTTCTTTTTTAATATGTCTATTGGCTGATTGCAAACAAACCTTCCTAAGTATTTTACTCTTACAAAGCTAACAAACGAAATTGTTAAGTACAATGAATCCAAGGTTCTACTAGACATTCCAATACTATTTAAGAACCTGAAACTTCTTACACATTTTAACTGACCATTCTGAGCCTATCACACATTTTCAAATACATACCCAATCTTTATTGAATGAAACCATTATATAATGAATCAGCAATTACTGAAATGTTGGCTCAAAAAAATCAGTAAGTGCAAACCCCAGATTTTCTATAAACACCTTTAAAAAAACTGAGAGACGAAATTGTATATATTAATACTTGCCGCCTACCTAATGCTTTGAAGTATTTATACATTGTGGAATGGTTAAATGTAGCTAACTAACAAATGCATTGCCTAACAGAGTTATTTTTGTGATGAGAACACTAACATCCACTCTCCGTTTTTCACGAATACTATACGTATATCGTCATTATAGTCTCTATGCTATACAACAGATCTATGTACTTGTTCTCGTATCTAACTGTAATAACGTATCCTTTCACCTTCCCAATCTCCAACCTCTAGGGAGGTGGCGAAAAGCAATTAAGCCACCGGGTGGCCTTGGGCAGTGATCATCTTGAGCCTGGGGCCATTCTAAAAGTAGTGGTGGTGAACTCCCAAGCCTAAACTACTTTAATCCACTACTTCTCCCGCCTCCGACCCTCACTGAAACCACAACTGACCCTCCTAGCCAGCACACTCGCTGGTTTGCAACAGGAGGCAGACAACTGCTTACCTACTTCCCTCTCGACACACTCCCTCCCATGCAGTCGCTAGAAGGCCTGCATTTTTTGGGATGGCAGTAAGATTCGCTCACAAGTCGCAGTTCCCTTTGGCCGGTAGGCCGGGCGAACCCCCTCCCATCTCACCTCTTGATGGTAACGCCTCGGAAGAGCGGGTACCACGCGGAGAACTGGCAGTGCAGCACATGCTCCTTCTTCATTCTCCAGCTGCCGCCGCCGCTGCCTTTCCCTCTCCTGCTTGCACCCTCCCGGAACCCTGGGCTCCGGCCCCGGAAGTGCCCACCGAGCTATTTTGGTTCCAGGACTCTTCCGGTCCCTAAAGCAAGAAGGAACACCGAGAAAGGGAAGCGGAGAAGGAGAATCCCGGGGCATACGCTTGACACACACGTACACAAAAAGAGCTTTAGTCTCGAAAGAGGAATTACTGAAATGTTGAGAGAGGAATTTTAAGAAGTTTACAACTCCGTCTTTGCCCTAGACACACACTGACCCGGAAAGTAATCACCTGGAGCTAGGTCAAAGGCGGGGGTTCTACGGATGCCGGGAGGAGGGCGCGCGTCCATCCTGTTAGCACCGCGAGAGGCGCCGGTGTCTGGAATCGTGGCACCGGCATCGGCTGACACTGCTGCCTCCAGCTAGTTATTTCGTCCTCTTCCGTTCTTCACCCCTACATCTTGGAGTAAGTAACCGGGGCAGGCCAGTCACAGCACAAAATCTCTTTGGGGAGGAGAAGTAGAAGGGGAGAGGGAGCACATCTGCATGGTGCGTGCAGCCGCGCGGTGTCTCCCAGGCTGCGGCTGGGCACGCGTCCAGGCGCCCAAGAGGGAAACTGGGGATTGGAGCGGAGGAGCCTGGGCTACTCCGAGTAAAGAAAGCGGGGAACACCACAGCTAAGTGTTGCTTCCAGTGTAAAGGTTGCAGCATCTGCAGAGGAGTAGAATGCTTGGCAGAGGGAATATCGCCTGTACGATCCTGAGGGGTTCGACTTTGGGAGGGAAAAGGCGAGAGGTAAATTTGAGAAAGCGGAGGAAAAAGGAGACTTGTCTCCTTTGAGCGTTGTATTCGTTTAGTCTCGCCTCGCAAAAGTTATCAAGCTGGAAAAACCGCAGATTTTTATCAGTATTCCTGCAGTGATCGAATCATAAGACTGGAAGAATTCGAATCGAACTTGTACTATCCTTCTTTTTTCCTTTGCTTCACTCCTGTCACCCAGCAAAGTTCAGTTTTGTTTGTTTCGTTAAAGAGAATGAGAAGTAACCAGCTGCTTTTATTTATTTGTTTGAGACGGAGTCTCACTCTGTGCCCAGGCTGGAGTGTAGTGGCGCAATCTCGGCTCACTGCAGCCTCCGCCTCCCGGGGTCAAGTGATTCTCCTGCCTTAGCCTCTCGAGTAGCTGAGAGCGCGCGCGCCTCCACGCCGGCTGATTTTTGTATTTTTGGTAGAGACGGGGCTTCGCCATATTTGCCAGGCTGGTCTCGAACTCCTGACCTTAGGTGATCTGCCCGCCTTAGCCTCCCAAAGTGCTGGGCTTACAGGCGTGAGCCACCGCGCCCGGCCTACCAGCCAGCCGCTTTTAACCCCTAGTCGTGTCGCTTACCCTACGAGCATTTGGCTTGCGCGAGGCATCTGTGTCTAAAGATATCTCCTTAAATGTACATTCTTCCTGGTCCACCTAAGTAGTTTTAAATTAAAAACAGCCCCACGGACCGCAGGCCTCTTCAGAAGGGTATTCCTTAGAATAATAAACAGAATTCTCTGCGTATTTTGTGTTAGAAACTCTTCCCCCCAGGAATATATACATTGTTTTAGGTTTTGTTTTGTTTTTCTCAAAAATGTTACTGGCTAAGTGGCTAGTTGGAAGCAGTGCTTTAAAGAATAACATTTTCAAAGCAGAGGTAAATAGATTATAATATTGCAAGGTATGTTGGTGGGGTTTGGACAGTAATGGTTCATTTATGCCTTGATCTGGAATTAATGCAGTCCTTTCTGTTTTGAGGGAGAGAAGCAATATTGTATATATGTCTGGAGGGTGGTGGTAGAAAGACTTAATGGCAGGCAGGAGCGGTCGCTCAAATAATTGTTTCGATTTGACTTAGAAAGTAAAAAATTGCAGCGGAAGGAGGTGTCAGCATCACTGGGGGATTTATTTAGGTCAGATGTTTTCTAATGAAGATAGGAATAAATGTGCGGAAGAAAACAGATCCCGGGAACATTAGCGCTTCTGTGAGGAGCAGTACTTTAACAGCCCAAGAAACATTTGAGCATAGGCCGGTTGCGGTGCCTCATGCTTGTAATCCCAGCACTCTGGGAGACCGAGGCGGGTGCATCATCTGAGGTTAGGAGTTTGTCCAGCCTGGCCAACATGGCGAAACCCCGTCCCTACTAAAATTACGAAAATTAGCCGGGCGTGTTGGCGCATGCCTGTAGTCCCGGCTAGTCGGGAGGCTGAAGCAGGAGAATCGCTTGAATCCGGGAGGCCGAGGTTGCGATGAGCCGAGATCGTGCCACTGCACTCCAGCCGGGCAACAGAGCAAGACTCTGTCTCGGGAAGAAAAAAAAAAGAGTGTAGAGGTTAAGGCAGTTGCAAAGCTTTAATACAGAATTGCAGTTGTGTGTAGAAAAGCAGCTAAGTTTGTAAGCTTAAATATATAGATACTACAGGGAAGGAATTTTTATAAATACCTTTTATTCAGGCTGTATACTTTAGAAGTGTGTTCAGTGACTTTTTAGTATTACAGTTGGTTTTAAGTAACTTGTTACACATTTAACTAGCATCAAATAAACTGACATTATAAATAGGAGATGCTCAAATACTTTGAATGGATACAGCTAAATAAGCGTTCCGTGTATTTTAACCACTGTGGTTGTCTTCACTAAGCCATGAAATCATTGTATTCATCAAGTTTCTCCAATAAAACCTTTCGACAGTGGAAATAGTTGCTTTTCCTCCTGCATGCTGAAAAGTCAGTAATCATGTGATTATGGAGGAGGAGATTTATTGTGCAATTCCTAATGAAATAATGAAAAACCGCATTTCCTTCTCTGAATCCATAGCATGACTAATCATCCTAGATTAATATTTTCACTTGTCTGCCAGTTTTCTTCACCTGGATGTCTGCCATCATCTCAAACATAGTGTGTACAGATTTGAGCCCTGCATCACCCCTTTTTTCTTCCGATGTCCCAGTCTCCCTTAAAACCATCTTCATGGAAATTAAATGTCACCTTGCCACTGCTACCACTCTACTCCAGACCTGTTATGTCCTGCCTGGACTATTATAAGTAGTTCTTTACAGTCTCATTACTATACATCTGTAACCAATACACCTTCCCAAGGGTCATTACAGTCAGTTCACTGTTGCTCAACCAGAATTAAACGTGAGGATTATAAACCACCTGGTAAATGATTGCTGGAGATCACCAAGTGGCATAATTTCAGTAAACGTTAATTCCTCCCTGCCCACCCCACTGCCACACCTGAAGAGAATGAAAAGAAAAAAAAAAACCCATAAGTAAATTCAATTGTGGGTACCCAAATTTTTTTTACTGCAAATGGCACAAAAGAAGGATACATCAGAATATTATCCTTTTTTTTCTTGAGACAGAGTCTCGCTCTGTTGCCCAGGCTGGAATGCAGGGGTGCAGTCTTGGCTCACTGCAACCGCTGCCTGCTGGGTTCAGGCTTTTCTCGTGCCTCAGTCTGCCGAGTAGCTGGGACTACTGGCGTGTGCCACCTCACCCAGCTAATTTTTGTATTTTTAGCAGAGACGGGGGGCGGTTCACTATGTTGGTCAGGCTCGAACTCCTGACCTCAAGTGATCCACCCGCTTTGGCCTCCCAAAGTGCTGGGATTACAGGCATGAGCCACCGAGCCCGGCCAGAATATTATCTTTTAAAAATATAATTTAAAAAATTTTAACTATGACCAAAATTATTAAATATAACTACAAATTATTTGATTCTTTGTTCCTTCTAAATCAAGTGACTTTTCTTTGTAATTTTTCTGCCAGAATGTAGATTGCCACTTTAGACATGCCCAATTTGATGCTTGACTTTAACAAGACAATCATAAAGTAAGTTATTACTGCAAAAAAAAATTAGTCCTCTCTTCCACTTAATTTCTTTTTTTTTTTTTTTTTGTTATTGTTGTTTTTTTTTTTTTTTTTTTCTGGAGACAGACTCTCTGTCACCGTGCTGGAATGCACTGGCATGATCTCGGCTCACTGCAAACTCCGCCTCCCTGGTTTAACTGATTCTCCTGCCTCAGCTTCCCACTTCATTTCTTTCAAAGTGCCTTGTTGATTTCTCTATTCAATTATTAAACTGTTCCAACTGCCTGACGACCCTCTTTGTCAATCAGGAGTTCTGCTTATGATGTGGGCTCCTGCGTCTTGTATTTGGTTGAGTATTGTTGATATTAACAATATTCATCTTTATCAGGGAGAGACTAGCCAACATATAATTTCTTGTTAGGATTTTTTGCTTCACTTTGCAGCCTCAACAGATGGCAGGGATTCAGGTACGGTGATTGAATAATGAGCCTCGGTGCCAACTGCACAACCAGACTTTTTTCAGTTCATGGTTTAACTTCTGGAATCTAAACTCCCACTTAACTCTTTATGCAGCTGTTGTTACTAATACTGGCATACTGAAGTTGGTGAAAAATTAATCACTTCCTGCCTTTCAGTAGAGGGCTGTACTTGCTGCGTAACCCCAAAATTAGTTTATTTGGTGTTTTTTGTTTGTTTGTTTTTTACATGGGGTCTCACTATGTTTCCTAGGGTCATCTCGAATTCCTGAGCTCAAGCGATCCTCCCACCTCAGCCTCTACGAGTAGCCGGGACTATAGGCACATACAGTGCATGGCACTGGCCCCCAAAACTACCTCATATCACAACAGTAATTTGTGCCATGCCAGTTGGCTTTGTGTGCTTTGTTGGCCTGCAGTTTTGGGGGGCAGAGATCCAATCAAATCTGTGTATGGCCTTAGAAATGTGTTCGCAAATCATCATCGTTATATGTGGAGTTGTTTTGGGAGTTTTTTGGTGGTGGTGGTTTTTCCTTTGTTGTTGTTTTTGTTTTTGTTTTGAGACGAAGTCTCGCCCAGGCTGGAGTGGTGCAGTGGTGGATCTTGGCACACGGCAAGCTCCACCTCCCGGGTTTAAGCCATTCTCCTGCCTCAGCCTCCTGAGTAGCTGGGACTACGGGCGCCCGCCACCTCGCCCGGCTAATTTTTGTATTTTTAGTAGAGGTGGGGTTGCACCGTGTTAGCCAGATGGTCTGGATCTCCTGACCACGTGATCCACCTGCCTCAGCCTCCCAAAGTGCTGGGATTACAGGCGTGAGCCACCGCACCCAGCTTTTCCTTTGTTTTTTAAAGGAGGAGGTGGAGGAGGAGCTTGAGAACCAAAGGGCTTGCCATACACTCAACGTTTCTCACCCTTTCCCTGGTGTCTCTGCCTTTGTTCACATGGTGTCTTCTAGTTGGAATGCTTTCCCTGCACTCTTGGTCACTAAGCCATGTCTTTACATCAAACTGTCTTTTAAAAATCTTGCCTGGTGCAGTGGCTCACCCCTGTAATCCCAGTGCTGTGGGAGGCCGAGGCGGGTGGATCACTTGAGGTCGGGAGTTCGAAACCAGCCTGGCCAATATGGTGAAACCCCGTCTCTGCTAAAAATACAAAAATCAGCCAGGCGTGGTGGCGCGGGCCTGTAATCCCAGCTGTTTGGGAGGCTGAGGCAGGAGAATTGATTGAACCCGGGAGGTGGAGGTTGCTGTGAGCCGAGATCGCGCCATTGCACTCCAGCCTGGGTGTTGCCTCAAGACTCTGTCTGAAAAAAAAAAAAAAAAAGGCTTTATCATTTTCCTCACTGCCTCCCAAGTGGATATTTATGTCCCTCCTTTAAAACACTGTGGTATGGTGGTGTCTATGAGGCAGGTCTTTGCCCCAGATGTACTTGCTAAACTGTAACATGCTCAAGGGCAAGCATAGTGGTCAGTGTGCACTGAGTATATACACAGACGTTTCCACTGCTGGTGCTCTCAAAGCTAGTCAGAGACTTCTGCCTGCCACTGCACAAGGCGTCTAAAAATCTTACAGCATTTCCCCTCATTAATGTTTTTTTTGTGTGTGTGCTCAGGAGAATTGCACATCCAACACATCTAGACCTTCAGTGTTCAAACTGAACTGAGTTCAAACGATTTATGAGAATTAAAACAGCTTGTGACTTTAAAGACTAAGGACAATCATAAGTGAAATTGTAGAACACTCCACATCGTGTACATGTATATTTTTCATACCATACACATACTGGCAATATGCAAATGACCTTAAAGTCTAACTAATGAAGTGGATAAAATGTATATCAAAGTTTGCTTTTAAATCTTGAAGTAGTGTTGAGTCCGTTAAGGCAAACTCCGTTGCAGTGGTGGAGACGCTGGCGTACGAAGCATAGGATTTAAACCTCATTTCTCCTCCTTTCTGCAGCATGTTGCTGGTAGTGACTAGTCCCCAACTGGCACTGTTTGGCTTCTGCCTTTGAAATGGTGCTAAAAACAAGATTCCTTTTCTGTGTCTTAAAATTTCTGAGGTACTCTTATAGTCCTTCTGAAATGTTTGGGAATCTCATAGTAAAGAATATACTTTTGAATTTGCACATTTTTGTCATTACAGAATCCATGGATTGCTGCACAATACCGTTTCCCTTTGAGGCTGATGCATTCCAAAGAAATACTCTTTATTAGTGGCCAGGCGCAGTGGCTCACGCTTATAATCCCAGCACTTTGGGAGGCCGAGGCAGGCGGATCACCCGAGGTCAGGAGTTCGAGGCCAGCCTGCCCAACATGGCGAAATCCCATCTCTACTAAAAATATAAAAATCAGCCAGGCGCAGTGGTGGGAGCCTGTAATCCCAGCTACTCAGGAGGCTGAGGCAGGAGAATCGCTTGAATCTGGGAGGCAGAGGTTGCAGTGAGCCAAGATCACGCCATTGCACTCCAGCCTGGGCGACAAGAGCGAAACTCCATCTCAAAAAAAAAAAAAAAAGTTTTCCTAATAAATTATCATCCATGGTACTTTCAAAGGAAAAAGTGCCTGTTTCCTTAGTAGGGCTGCAGGTTTCAATATGCTAAATGACTGTCTCTAAGTATTTAAACTTCTACGTGGCTTACTTCCTTATTACCTTCAGGCCTCCATTCTGAAGTCACCAAATTCAACAGGCCTTGCCTGATCACTCCATGTAGATTACTCTTTCCATCTTCCCCACACTTCTCATCCTTTTTAATCTTTCTCATGAAATGCTGAGTCACTTGACATAAATTTTTATTCTTCCTCACTCTTTCTCCTTTCTCCTCACTAGAAAGTGAGGTCCAGGAGGGAGGGGATCTTTGACTGTCCCACTCACCGCCACTTTTTTTTTTTAGACGGAGTCTCACTCTGTCACCAGCCTGGAGTGCAGTGGCGTGATCTCAGCTCACTGTAACCTCTGCCTCCCAGGTTCAAGCCATTCTCCTCCCTCAGCCTTCCCAGTAGCTGGGGCTACAGGTGCACCTCACCACGCCCAGCCAATCTTATATTTTTAGTAGAGATGGTTTCACCGTGTTGGCCAGGATGGTCTCCATCTCTTGACCTCGTGATCCACCTGCCTGGGCCTCCCAAAGTGCTCTTGATTACAGGTTGAGGCGTGAGCCACCGTGCCCGGCCTCACTGCCACTCTTCTAACGCATCATCTCACCTTTCACAGGTTGGCCACAGGGGACTCAGCCAGGTTACCTGTGATAGTCAGATACTTGATTTGTAAAGGCACTTGATGAAGATCCATACAGTTTGTTTGTTGTCGATTGTATTTTAGGATAGGGAAGCTTGCTGTCTCGGGTACACATTGAAGATCAGATGGGTAGTACGATTACTTTAAGTCCTAGAAGAAACAAAGAGCAGACTCACTTTTTCTTCTAAGACAGTTGGGAAGAGAATTGATGCTGGGTGGGCTGTATTTTCCTTGAAGCTGAAGTTAGGTGGCATAGGTTAGAGAACCGTGGAACGTAAGAGTGCAGTGGTGTGATCTCGGCTCACTGCAACCCGAAACTCCTGGGTCCGAGTCACCCTCCTGCCTTAGCTTCCTGAGTAGCTGGGACTACAGGTGCCCACCACCACGCCCGATGTTACCCAGGCTGGTCTCAGACTCTTCACCTCCCAAAGGGCTAGGATTACAGGTGTGAGCCACTGTGCCTGGTCTAAGTAACAGTTCTTAAACAACAGAGAAAACACAGGGGAGGAAATTAACAGTGAAGTCATTCAAGAAAAATTCCCTGTAAAGAAGCATAGTAAGAAGTTTCCAGATGGAAAGGACCCACTTGACTTCCCAGTACAATAACATGAACATGAAAGTGTGACGAACTACAAGCTTCCAGAGGAGGAAAACAGAGGACATGGCAAAAAGATGAAGAATAAGAATAGCTTTGGACTTCTCAACAGCAGCATCAGAAGCAAGACAACTAAGCAATGCCTTCCAGTTTCATAGAAAATTGGCTTTGGGCCTATAATTCTATATACAGCTAAATTATCAACCATGTGGGTAACAAAAAAAGACTTTGACCTTCGGACAGGCAGGGTCCAAAAATGAAGGAATAAAGAAAGAGGAAATAATAATATACAATAAATGGGATAAGGGCCTGCTCTATTCGTAACAGAACTTGTAGTACTACCCGATCCTTTCTCTGCAACTATGACTTTGATAGCTGCCGAAACTTAAAAGTAACTGGGGAGGTGAGGACAGTGGCCCATGCCTGTAATCCCAGCACTCTGGGACACCGAGGCGGGAGGAGGATCGCTTGAGCCCAGGAGTCTGACACCAGCCTGCAAAACATAGTGAGACCCCACCTCTACCAACAGTTTAAAAAATTAGTTGGCTGTGGTAGCATGCACCTGTAATCCTGGCTACTCAGGAGGCCGAGATGCAAGGAGCACTTGAGCTTGGGAGGTAGAGGCTACAGTGAGCCATGATTTCACCACTGCACTCCAACCTGTACAGCAGAATGAGATCTTACATCTCAAAAAATAAGTAAAGTTAGGTGTAAAGGATGGATAAAAGACTGAGAGGTGGACATGGAGAGTGATAAATAATCTTTCTGCTGTCTTCCCTTGGAAAGAATTTAAGATTCGGAGTCAGAAAAATCAGGCTGGGCGTGGTGACTCACACCTGTAATCCCAGCACTTTGGGAGGCCAAGGAGGGCAGATCACTTGAGGTCAGGAGGTCGAGACCAGCATGGCCAACGTGGTGAAACCCCATCTCTACTAAAAATACAAAAATTATCCAGGCATGGTGACCTACACCTATACTCCCAGCTACTCGGGCTGAGGCACGAGAATCTCTTGAACCCAGGAGGCAGAGGTTGCAGTAAGCTGAGATCGTGCCACTGCACTCCAGCCTGGGCGACAGAGTGAGACTCTCAAAAAAAAAAAAAAGAAAGAAAAATCTGATGAAGAACGTCGACCTCTGAGTGCCTAGAACAGGCACGGCAGGAACTTGGCTGGTGTGGCTGAGTGTGACTGGGACTGCTGTCACTTCCTGCCTTATCCCCAGGCCTCCCTGTTCACGTTTCCACCTGTGGCAGTTCCCTCAGATACTGAGACAGGCAGCGTTGATGGTAGATGAATTTTTTGCTATTTAAGTACTTTGACTAGTGGCCTGGGGACTAATGTTTAATTCAGAAAAATAATTTTAGCCTAAACAAATCTCGTTATCTTGCAGGGTGAACTTCTCACCTGAGGGCTGTAAAGACTGGTTTGGAAATGGAGAGCCAAGAACCAATGCAATCTTCTCAGAATGGCAAACAATATATTATTTCAGAGGAGGTATAACTTGGTTTTCATTTTCCTTTCCTTCCCCCACATGAATCTGAGTTTAATAGAAATACATAGGCTGTTTGTGGTTACAAATGGTGGTTTTTCATTCTTGAAGAAGGTCATGAAGATTTTTCCTACTCCCTTTTTTGGGCTCGGGCACATTTTGCTCTTCTGTGGGAGGAGTAGTGGGTCTGTGTATTAGTGAAATTGAGACTCTAGGTAGATTTGGGCTCTTAACAGAAAAATTCTTAATCCTTACTGTGTTTCCCTAGATAGAAGAAGAAAGAATATATGCAGTTGAGGACTGAGATATTTCACATGTAGTTGTCACAACTTGGTTGTTTATGGTCACAACATGAGTGTTTAAGAACAATAAAAACCTACGTTGTTAATTGTAGTCTAAATTCCAATGAGTTCTAGAACCAATGTATGTCTGTGTGTTATTCAATTTAGCTTTAAAAGTCTTTTCCTGCAGGAACCATTGCAGTGGATAAATTTTAAGTCCTTCATCTTGGAACTCTGATCTTGACACCTTTCTGGAATTCCTTTTGATTTAAAAATCTTTCCATGTTGTCTGTGAACAGATCTGCTGAGAATTATTAGGTTGCTGCTGGCAAGAAGTGAAAGATAGGATAGTAGGAAAAAGGTTACTGCTTTATACACAGTGACGCTTTCCTCTCAGTTCAGTATAGTGCCATAGGTAAGTTAGTCTTCAACACCAGAACTCCCCAATGTCTAGGCAGAAGGAACCTGGGGTGTCCGCCTGCGGTTGGGTGAGAAACCCGTGTGTCATGATAGGAGATCCAATCCCGGACCTTGTTTCCCCACAGTCCGCCTTCCTGTGTCATCACTGACAGGAAAATACCAGTGTCTAGAGATGGCCGTTTCTACATACTAAACTCACCTGTGTTGTATGCACCCAGGTCAGGAGACCCTCACCCTATGTGCTCCCTTCCGGTTACCTCCATGCCCCACCCTCGCCACCAACTCCCGGAAGTTTTTAGACTGTCATTTCTTTTCACCTGTTACTACTAACCCCAAGAAATTCCAAAAAGAAGCAGAAAGGCCCTTTAAAAAAAACAACCCTGAATACCTACCTACTCTGAACGGAAAAACGTGCCCACAAGTTATTGGGAAGGAAACATGATTATTGGGAGTCTGGGGAAGGACAGAGGAAATGTGAAAGAAAAAACCCTTTTAGATAAAAACAACTTGGTTTGAAGGTTTCCCAACTTATTATCTGATATCCTTTTAGTTAATTTCAGAAGGAAAATGGGTCAAGCTTGAAAAAACAACGTACATGGATCCTACTGGTAAAACTAGGTAAACTTTTTTTTTCTTATAAAATGTCCATTATTTGGGTTCTCAGGTTATCCATTGAGTGTTTTACATAAACTTTGATGTTTTCTTTTTTGTAAACTGTTTTAAATAAAGAATCTAATTTAGCTGTTTTTCCAGTGTTAGGATGTTTGGATCATTTATAATTGCTAAATAAAATTGGGTTGTAAATGTGTTACAATAACTAATCAGAAAACTATTTTAATACCATTCTCCCTAAGTAGACAAGTATAGACCTAAAACTTTTGGGCCAAACCTAATTTAAGCTGATAAGGCGACAGAATAATTAACCATACATGTTGCTTCCTTCTAGTAGAATCAGTTTTTAATTTCTAAATTAGAAGAAATAAAGAGAAAACAACAACATTGCTAATTTTGAGGTATGTGCGCCTGCCTCATGGAAATGCAAATCAGGAAAAAACATTTTGTACACCCTATTTCATAATATGTATCAATAGCCCTAAAAATATTGTACCCTTTGACCTAGTAATCCCAGTTTTAACAAAGTGTTAAGGGCCAGGTGTGGTGGCTCACGCCTGTAATCCCAGCACTTTGGGAGGCCAAGCAGGGGTGCGAATCTGTTGAGGTCAGGAGTTCAAGACCAGCCTAGGCAGCATGGCAAAACCCCATCTCTACTAAAAATACACAAATTAGCTGGGCGTGGTAGCATACACCTGTAGTCCCAGCTACTTGGGAGGCTAAGGCAGGAGAATTGCTTGAACCCGGGAGGTGGAAGTTGTAGTGAGCTGAGATCGCACCATAGCACTCCAGCCTGGGTGACAGACTGAGACTCTGCCTCAAAAAAAAAAAAAAAAAAAAAAAAACCCAACAGCAAAAGAAAATATTAAGTAAATTAGTATTCAGAATTAAATTTATGTATAGAAAATGTTCACCCAAAATTTAAAAGACAGAAAAACTGAAAGCAACCTAAATATCTTAAAAGTAGGAAATGAATTGTTACAGCGTATTGCCTTGGTAAAATCTCTGCAGCTGTCTGAAAAGCAGATTCTGAAGACAACCTAGCAATACGGGAAAACTTCCTACGTTGATAACAAAGTAGCAAAGTGTGTATATGCTTTTCAAACTCTGCCAAATAATGTGTAAGAAAAAGCCGGAAGGAAAACTGTAGCACAATGAGAAAAAAGCTCTGTGGTTAATCCTTTTTCTTTTACTTTCCAGATTTTTGCATAGTAATCTTTTGATACGGTAAACTCTCAGAAGAAAATAGTGTGAAAATAAATTTTTTACTTAGTGAAATATGAAAAGGAGCACAACAGCATGAGAAGGAAATTTAGTAACCAGATCACATGATACAAATCCATCAATATGAAAACTCCATTTGCAAAGTGATCCAGTAAGAGTACATGGTTTCCTTGTGATGAAATAGATCATCAAGATGCAAATACGTGGACTTGCCAGTAAACAATTTTGATGATATCTGTCTACTAAACTAGCAAAGCCCTTGAGAAGGCCTTTTGTAGGAGAGCTGTGGGGAACATACTAAGAGATAGATAGCACTGTTGAATTAAAACCAGCAGTAAGAAAGCTAAGCACAGTATGATCCATCAACCATGAAAGACTGTAACTCTTCACTTAAAATGCCAAGTGAGTTTGATATGGAAAACTAAATGTATGAAATAAGTAGGGCCCAAACCCAATACAGAAATGTGGCAAGGCCCAAGTCTTAGGGAGCACCGTATGTTCAAATGTATTTTTATTTGTGAAACTATAGAGAGGTTGGAACCCAATGTATAGTGAAACAGTTTGGTTCTCTTTTTCCTATCAAATTAAGTTTATAACACAAAACATAGCCCTCAACTCTAATGAGTCTAAACATGTATTTGAGGCCAGGCGCAGTGGCTCACGCCTGTAATCCCAGCACTTTGGGAGGCCAAGGTAGGTGGATCACTTGAGGTCAGGAGTTCGAGACCAGCCTGGCCAACATGGTGGTGAAACCCCCATCTCTACTAAAAATGCAAAAATTAGCCGGACGTGGTGGCACATACCTGTAATCCCAGCTACTCAGGCAAGACTGAGACGGGAGAATTGCTTGAGCCCAGGAGGTGGTGATTGCAGTGAGCGGAGATCGCACCACTGCACTCCAACCTGGGCGACAGAGTGAGACTCCATCTCAAAAAAAAAAAAAAAAAAAGATGTATTCGCACCAGCTTATCTCTTCGCCTGACTGGTCTTCTGCCCTTCCTGCATTTGCTAATCAGGGATGTACATCAGAATCACATGAGGACTTTTCTGAAAATAGGATGAAGTCTCACTTTCAGAATATCCGTTTCAGTAGATTGGGAATAGGCTGTAAAATCCACCAAACTACCATATTTATAGCATGGTCATGTCCATTCTTGCATACATAGGTTTTTTTTCCTGGCCTCTGAAGAGGACTTACGTAAAGCACTAATATCTCATACCAGAATGTCACCCTTTGAAGAATGAATCTTTGTACTTTCTAGTATGCCACGATGTATAAGTTATAGGATGTGTTATCTCTGACCGGATATAAAAGCCTGTGTGTACAGGTTGAGCAGCCCTAATCTGAAAATCTAAAATTCAAAATTCTGCAAAATTCAAAACCTTTTCAGTGCCAACCTGATGCCCCAGGTGGAGAATTCCACACCTGACTGCATGTGACAGGCTCAGTCAAAACACAGGCATACAGCACAGGCATTCAGTGTCCCCCGGGGAAAAGGGACCCTCCCTTTCAGCTCTGCTATATCCTTTTATTTTTATTTTTTATTTATTTTTTTCTGAGACATAGTCTTGCTCTGTTGCCCAGGCTACAGTGCGGTGGTGTGGTCTCAGCTCACTGCAACCTCTGCCTCCCTGGTTCAAGCGATTCTCCTGTCTCAGCCACTCGAGTAGCTGGGACTAGAGGTGTGTGCCACCATACCTGGCTAATTTTTGTATTTTTAGTAGAGACAGGGTTGTTGGCCAGGATGGTCTCAAACTCCTGACCTCAGGTGATCCACCCACCTTGGCCTCCCAAAGTGCTAGGACTACAGGCATGAGCTACCGCCTCCAGCCATATCCTTTATTTTCAAAATTTATTTAATTTTTTTTTTTTTTTTTAGTAGAGACATAGTCTCACTGTGTTGTCCAGACTGGTCTCGAACCCCTGAACTCAAGCAGTCCTCTTACCTTGGCCTCCCAAAGTGCTGGGGTTTCAGGCATGAGCCACCACACCCGGCCCAATATATCCTTTGCACGCACACAGCAGCTTCCCTCCGCAGGCACGCCCACAGAGGGTCATGAAATGGCAGGTGTGCAGGCCGAACGCCCCAGCAGCGGTTTCCCCGCAGCACGCTCCACGGGGCTGAGACCTACGTGCATGACTCACTGTGGGGTCCTTTTGCTTATTTTCTGCTCTGTGGGGTAAAGGTACTGTTGAAAATGTCAAAAAGGCCTGCGTAAGACCCAGAGGGTAAGGCAAATATTTCAAAATCTGAAAAACCAAACTCTGAAACACTTGCAGCCCCTCAATTTCAGGTAAGGAATTCTCAACTTGTCCAGCTGTCGCTTGGTGTCTGTCGGGGTTAGTTCCAGGACCCCCCTGTAGATACCAAAATCCACAGATGCTCAAGTCCCTGGTGTGAAATTGCATATATTCAATGTGTATTTGCCTATAACGTACAGACATCCTCCCATGCACTTCATCTCTAGAGAAATCACAGCACCTAATACATTGCAAATACTGTGTAAACAGTTGTTGTACTCTATTGCTTAGGGAATAAACACAAGAAAAAGCGTGGACATGTTCAATATAGATCAATTTTTTTCCGAAATATTTTCAATCTGTGGTTGATTGAATTCACGAATGTGGAACCCACGGATATAGAGGACCGAGTCTAAGAGAGAAAATAGCAGCTAGAGAATCCTGTGTTCCACCATCTCATTCATGAAAGGGGATGTGGGGTTGATTTTAGAAATATAAAAATATTCCAGTAGTGTGTGTCTTCAGGGACATTGAAGACAGTGCCGACGTCACCCCCTGTGACCGTCCCGCCTCTCGTGTTGGTGAACTAGAGGGAGGAAGGCCAGCAGGCTCTCCTGTAACAAAGGAGACTAGGAATAGGATGATCTCACTGGAAGCAGAATCCTAAAGCTAGAAGAGGTTTTGGAGGTAACCTACTCCTTCCTGCTTTTTACAAAGGAGAGAAGAGTCTCCAGGAGGCTGGCGCTCTGGGCCCAGCTGGTAGGCAGGCAGACTAAGAGCGGACTTCCAGCCAGGTGCGCATCTCACAGGCCCCCTACAGTTGGAGCTCTCACGGGGCAGTCTTGTTTCACGATTTCTTATCAATGCATTTCTGTTTTATCGCTCGTGATTTACGGCTCGTTACTGCTTATTTCCTTCACCTTAACCACGATAATGATGCTCCTCTTTTTGTTTCCCTTATTCCTAGTGTTTGGGATGGGACCTTCGGTGCTTTTCCCAGCACTGTCCTCTTCAGTCTTTAGGACTAACCTTAGGAGGCAGCAGAGAGAGCTATGCCAAAAGGTGTTTCATCTCTTGCAATCTGTATGATTTACTTACCAGCATTGCTTGTTGGTCAGCTCCTTGCTACTAACAGGAATGTTGGGCGGCTGTGAGTTGTCATAGAAGTCTGTTTGATTTTCCTGTGTTCATTTCGACATATTTGCCCCTCAGAATTTGGGTACGATGCTGAAAGACCTACAATTTCCAGACAGTCTTTTTGTTTTGTTTTTTAAAAAGCAGATTAAATATTTGAACAATTTTAATGGAAATATGACAAGGTCCCAATGTTAAGGACAGCCAGATAGAAAGATTAAGCAGGAGTGTTCTTCCGAGGAGGGTATCTTGGAACTCTTACTATTGAGATACAGGTGGTAACTCCTTTTTATCCCAAGCCCCAGAGCCACCCACATGTCTCACTTCCTTTAAAAGAGATCCTAAAATTGTTTGCTTCTCCACTCTGGTCTCTTACCACTGCTTTTTCTACTGTAGGGAGGAGAGAGTGAAGGGGGAATGTTCCTTTTATGCCTCACCCCTTTAAGCTGCATAATTGATTCAGTAACTGGGCTTCCTGTGCAACTGGGCCCCATGTTCCAAGGCCAGAAGGTAGAATAGCACGGATGCTACCCAGAAACTGAGCTGGGTACCAGTCAGAAACCAATAGCTCACCAGGAACAAAGCCATCCAAGAGAGCAGGACTGGACTGTTACTCAGCCCACTTTTTCTAGATAAGATCTCACACTTGCCTACATTTAATAATTCTTCCATTAGTAAATGGGAAGGTTCTTCCTTCTTAAATTGTGTATTTTAGGTCACATATTTTAAAAAGCGAAATGATAGAAAAATCTCAATAGTTCACGTTGTCCACAGTAGCTTTTGTTCTTAGAGACAGGGCGAGCCTTTTCCTACCGCCTCATTTGCATTACCTGCTTATTAATCCATCACTGGCTGTGCTCCTTGCCCAGAGACATGGGATCCAAACTAAAATGTTCTGAGAAAGCGGCAGCTCACATGCTCAGCAGGCTTTCTGTTTCTGGGGCACCCAGAGGGTGAGGTGTAGGGTGGCAAGAGTTTTCGTTGTTAATTTTCAGAAGCTATAGGAAAGCAGAATTAGCTTTTTTAATGCAGACCTTTATTGCTGTGGTCTTCTTGACCAATATCATGAGTACATTTGCATGCATTGAATTTAAGACGTTCTGGTTGTGCACAGAAAACCTAAGAAAATTCTCCTCTTTAGCACTAACGACTTCTTCTTTCTTCTCTGCCTGAACAGAACTTGGGAATCAGTGAAACGTACAACCAGGAAAGAGCAGACTGCGGATGGTAGGAGTGCAAACCTGTTCCAACCCTTTAGAAAGGAAGTCAGCACTTGTGACCCTAAGAGGGTTTTCAGCGGAACCAAGTTAACTCCTATTATGTTGTGTCTTTAAATCTCCTGTTAGTTTTTGCTGTACTATGTAATGTAACTAAATTAAGCTTTCTTTATAAGTAACTTCTGGCTTCTGCTATCTAAGCTCAGAACAGTGTTTTGAGGGGAAGTTGTCCTATGTTTATAACTAAATGTAAATCAATATAGTTTGAAGCCACACACTGCGTCTAGATGTGTTATGACTCTAGAAATCCTTGTGTCCCGTTCGAAGGATCTAGGTGAGAGCCTTTCGTTTGGAAAAGTTACTTGGCACACTTTTATGCCTAGGGACCACTTGCTTTATAGGTTGATGAGGACATGGAATTAATTGGGCAAAGCCTGTTCCATTCTCCCCTCCAGGCATGAATGCCTTGACTGCAGAGAGCCCACAAACAATCCTGAGAATCACTCCGGTCGAGGGGAAGTTGGGCACTAGGCTTTTCTTATTTTTCCCTTTGGTTTTGGTTTCCGTTTTTGCTGGAAGCCAACAGTCGCTGTGCTGCAGCTGCTGGCTTCACAGACGGGAAGCTAGGTGGAGCCAGGGGACCCTCCTGGGTACTTTGTGTTTTCTGAAACCCAGTCGTTTGTATGTTTTAAGGAAGGCCAAATAATGTGAGAGAAAAGGTCTTTTACTCTAGAACTGGAAAGTCAGTCTTGCTAGCATGTATTGCACACAGTGGAGCTTACTTGATTTCTTGCTCGAAGTTGGCCCAGGAACACAGGGACGGCTGTGGCCTCACCAGTAGTAGGGCTGCCACATGCTGGGAAGTGGCTCTGTGGAAGGGTGGTGTAGCTGGCAACCTTACATCCTTGAACCTGTAGGAAGTGTTTCGTTTTAGTTCTGATTTTAGTTTTAAGAAACTGACAATTAAACAGGCTTTTTGTTGAAAAAAGAAAGTGTAAACAACATAGAAGTGATTATTTTTAATTACATTTTTAAAATAGCTTCCAAGATTCACTGCCAGTATTGTAGATTAAAGTGGAGTTGCTTAAAGTCTGGGGTTTTCATTAGCTTGCGCTGAACAAGGTGCTGGCATTGCTGACCTCTCATTAGGGATTTCCTTGGTTCCATTTCCTGGTGACAGGTGTCGCAGTCATCCCCGTGCTGCAGAGAACGCTTCACTATGAGTGTATCGTTCTGGTGAAACAGTTCCGGCCACCAATGGGGGGCTACTGCATAGAGTTCCCTGCAGGTGAGTCACTCAACATCCAATTGCTGCTTAGGGATGTTGGCCTGAACCACGGTAAAGCCTGAGAATCGCAAAGCTCAGCTCTGCAGTTTTTAATCTGTCCTTGTGGTTTTAAGTAAAACTAAACCATTTCGTAGCGGGGCCCCCAGGACACCCCAACAACCCTCTGAACCCGTGAAGGTGACACAAGGCCACCTCCCACCATCCCACCCTCCTCTTGGCAATGCTGCCTCCAGCCTTTTTTTTTTCTTTTTTTTTTGGTGAGACGGAGTTTCGCTGTATCACCCAGGCTGGAGTGTGGTGGCGCAATCTCACCTCACTGCAACCTCCACCTCCTGGGTTCAAGTGATTCTCCTGCCTCAGCCTCCCGAGTAGCTGGGACTACAGGCACGTGCCACCACGCCCAGCTAATTTTTTTGTATTTTTAGTAGAGACAGGGTTTCACCGTGTTAGCCAGGATGGTGTCGATCTCCTGACCTCGTGATCCACCTGCCTTGACCTCGCAAAGTGCTGGGATTACAGGCGTGAGCCCCTGCACCCGGTCATCTCCAGCCTTTTGAGTAATTGCCCTTCCCCTTTTCAGCTTATTTCATTGTTTGTCATTAGCCATCAGCCCCGACAGGAAATTTCCATTGATAAGTAGGCCAGGCTTTTGTTGTTGTTGTTGTTGTTTTTCTTTTTTTGAGATGGAGTCTCACTCTCTCACCCAGGCTGGAGTGCAGTGGTGTGATCTCGGCTCACTGCAACCTCCGCCTCCTGGGTTCAAGCGATTGTCCTGCCTCAGCCTCCTGAGTAGCTGGGATTACAGGCGTGCATCACCACACCTGGCTAATATTTGTATTTTTAGTAGAGACAGGGTTTCACTGTGTTGCCCAGGCTGGTCTCAAACTCCTGACCTCAGGTGATCCACCCACCTTCAGCCCACAAAGTGTTGGGATTACAGGCGTGAGCCACCATGCCCAGCCTAGGCCAGGCTCGTAACTCCAAGAAATATGAATGGAGAAGACAGTTTGCTCTGTTGTGTGGAAACAGGCCAAGGAGATTCTTCATTTCAGCTAGAATATTTTTTTCCATTGCACAGTAATTAAAACTCTGAAGAATTTATTGCCTAATATTATTGTAGGACTTTATTGGATTATTCCCATCTAAAGAGATTAAATCTCATGTATTTACTATTAGTGGTATATTGTTGTTATTTTTTTTTTTTCTTTTTTGAGACGGAGTCCTGCTCTGTTGTCCAGGCTACAGTGCGGTGGCACAATCTCAGCTCACTGCAGCCTCCACCTCCCGGGTTCAAGAGATTCTCTTGCCTCAGCTTCCTAGTAGCTGGGATTATAGGCATGAGCCACCACGCCCGGCTAATTTTTGTATATTTAGTAGAGATGGGCTCTCATCATGTTTGCCAGATTGGTCTCAAACTCCTGACCTCAGGTGATCTGCCCACCTCGGCCTCCCAAAGTGCTGGGATTACAGGCACCGTGCCCAGCCTCTGTTAGCTCCTATTCTTCCAAATGGACTGGCTATGACTTTATTATTAAAACAACAATAACAACAAAAGCATTATAAAGTAAATAAAATGAAGAGCCTTGGCCTCTCCAAGTGCTGGGATTATAGGCCTAAACTACCGCACCCAGCCAAGGTTTTATATTTTAAAAGGCCAGCCAGTGGTAACATGGTTAACAACTATCATTTTTCTCATTTCCTCACCATTTTACTGAAGGCTATTTAATTACCTTTTTTTTTTTTTTTTGAGACAGAGTTTTGCTCTTGTTGCCCAGGCTGGAGTGCAGTGACGTGATCTTGGCTCACCACAGCCTGCACCTCCTGGATTGTCCTGCCTCAGCCTCCTGAGTAGCTGGGGTTACAGGCTTGTGCCACCACGCCTGGCTAATTTTGTATTCTTAGTAGAGACGGGGTTTCTCCATGTTGGTCAGGCTGGTCTCAGCCTCCCCAAAGTGCTGCGATTACAGGCCTGAGCCACCACACCTGGCCAGGCTATTTAATTACTTTTAATATTAACATTAATAATTTATTCTCTGACTTTTTCTTTTTTCTTTGAGATGGGGTCTCTGTTGCTGAGGCTGGTGTGCTCTGGCACCATCACAGCCCATTGCAGCCTCAACCTCCCCGGGCTGAGGTGATCCTTCCACCTCATGTTTTCTATTTTTTGTAAAGATGGGGTTTCGCCATGTTGCCCAGGCTGATCTCAAATTCCTTGGCTCAAGTGATCTGCCCACCTCAGCTTCCCAAAGTGCTAAGATTACAGGTGTGAGCCACCATGCCCGGGCTCTTTTTTTGAGACTATGTCTAGCTCTGTTGTTCAGGCTGGAGTGCAGTGGTACAGTCACAGCTCACTGCAGCCTTAACCTTCTGGGCACAAGTGATCCTCCTGCCTCGGCTTCCTGGGTAGCTGGGTCTGCAGGCGTGCATCACCACATTCGACTAATTTTTAAATTTTGTGTAGAGATGGGCTTTTGCTTTGTCGCCCTGGCTGGCCCCAAACTCCTGGCCTCAAGTGATCCTCCTGCCTCAGCCTCCCAACGTGTTGGGATTACAGGCGTGAGCCACTGCACCCAGCCTGAGTTTTTCTTTTTTTTTTTTAAATTTTTTTTTTAATTTTGAGATGGAGTTTCGCTTTTGTTGCCCAAGCTGGAGTGCAATGGCACGATTTCAGCTCACTGCAACCTCCACCTAACAGGGTCAAGCAATTCTCCTGCCTCAGCCTCCCGAGTAGCTGGATTACAGGTGCGCACCAGCACACCTGGCTATTTTTTTGTTTTTTAGTAGAGACAGGGTTTCACCATGTTGGCCAGGCTGGTCTCGAACCCCTGACCTCAGGTGATCCACCCACCTCGGCCTCCCAGTGTTAGGATTACAGGTGTGATCAGCCTCATTATATTTAATTCCTTTCAGGAAACAAGAGTCTGCATTGCTGCTCCCTTCCTCTTCCTTGGCCTCTCTGTTCACTCCTCACAGTGGCCATGGGAGTCCCCTAACGTCCACCAGTTTGCTCCTTTCTGGCCTTTCATTCCTGGGCCTCAGTGTTTTACTGGGAGGAAGACAAGACAGGTGATGCTGACAGCATCCTACCTGTAAGGAAGCAGAATATGAACCGGCTTCCTGTGCTGCAGTCACACAGCAAGCTCCCAAGCCTAAGCCAGTTGGCCACCACCAAGTCACATCTCACAGATGCTTCCTGTGCTGTGCAGAGCAGCGTGGAGATGGTCAGGAAGGATCATGAAGGATCTGGGTCTGACAAGGATGACTGGGTGATGCCATCAGAATCTGATTCATCTGCTCAGAGCTATATTCTTTGCCTTTTTGTTTCTATAAAAATTTCAAGCTAGGCACGGTGGCTTAAGCCTGTAATCCCAGCACTTTGGGACGCTGAGGCGGGTGAATCACTTGAGGCCAGGAGTTCGAAAGCAGCCTGGCCAACATGGCGAGACTAAAAATGCAAAATTAGCCTCTACAAAAAGTACAAAAATTAGCCAGGCGTGGTGGTGTGTACCTGTGGTCCCAGCTACTCGGGAGGCTGAGGGTGGAGAATCGTTTGAACCCGGGAGGCAGAGGTTGCAGTGAGCTAAGATTGCACCACTGCACTCCGGCCTAGGCGACAGTGAGACTCTAAGAAAAAAAAGAGTTCCAATCCTCAGGTTTCTCTGTAAGGCCGCTTTTCACAGTGCTCTGATTCTTCTAACGCAGTGCGATAGCAACTGTGTTAGAAGAATGAGGGGTTCAGCCAGGCGCAGTGGCTCACACTTGTAATACCAGCACTTTGGGAGGCCGAGCCAGTGGATCATGATGTCAGGAGTTCAAGACCAGCCTGGCCAATACGGTGAGATGCCAATATGGTGAAACCTCGTCTCTACTAAAATTACAAAAAATTAGCCAGGCATGCTGGCAGGTGCCTGTAATCTCAGCTACTCGGGAGGCTGAGGCAGAGAACTGCTTAAACCTGGACAGGCGGAGGTTGCCGTGAGCCGAGATCGCACCACTGCACCCCAGCCTGGGCAACAGAGCGAGACACCATCTCAAAAAAAAAAAAAGAAGAAGAAGAATGAGGGGTTCAAAGAACCGGATTTCCCGCTCCCATCATACCAATGATTGGAACTTACAGGTCTCATAGACGACGGTGAAACCCCAGAAGCAGCTGCTCTCCGGGAGCTTGAGGAAGAAACCGGCTACAAAGGGGACGTTGCCGAATGTTCTCCAGGTTGGTAGTACTTGAAAATTCACCAAGTGATAGATTCCTCAGTGTGGGAAGGGATGGATTATTTGGGAATTCTTTATGCTCAGAATTCACTGAAGAGAAATCATAGATTAGGACTGGTCACTGAGTGTAAGTGAATCTCCCCGCCCAGGAGGAAACTGGAATCAGAAGGGCCTGAAGTTGGGGGAGAGTTAATGAAATTAAATTGCCTTTTGGCTGAGTGCAGTGGCTCACGCCTGTATTCCCAGCACTTTGGGAGGCCAAGGCAGGTGGATCACCTGAGGTCAGGAGTTCGAGACCAGCCTGGCCAACATGGTAAAGCCCACTCATCTCTACTAAAAATACAAAAATCAGCCAGGTGGCACACACCTGTGATCCCAGCTACTCGGGAGACTGAGGCAGGAGAATTACTTGAACCCAGAGGGCAGAGGTTGCAGTCAGCCGAGATCACGCCCGTGTACTCCATGCTGGGCAATAAGAGCAAAGTGAAACTCTGTTTCAAAAAACAAATAAATTGCCTTTTGGAATTTCCCACACCCTGAGTTTTATTGCTCACCCACCTCATCCATGTGCTACCCTCATCACTGGAAGATTTTTTGAGTTTGATGTGGTGAAGGGTTTTACAACTTGTCAGTACCATCTAAGCCCGCAGACCTAGCAAGCTTGACTCGGGCGCTCTGGGGAGAGTGAGTGTGCCCAGATGCTTTGCAGCCTGCAGGTCTGCCTACCAAATGTGAGAACTAGTTTTCCTGCATCACCTCCACGTCAACGCTGAGCTGCGAGACGCATCTTCTTCCTAAGACCGTAGTGAAACAAATGCCACAGGGACTGACGCATCTGACTGTCCCTTCTCTCCACAGCGGTCTGTATGGACCCAGGCTTGTCAAACTGTACCACACACATCGTGACAGTCACCATTAACGGAGATGATGCCGAAAACGCCAGGCCGAAGCCAAAGCCAGGTACGTGCGCATCAGCTGTGCTGAAGGTGGTGCGGTTGCATTACGTGTCTTGGAACTTGCTGCTAGTTTGATTTATTAAAACAATGTAGTCTTCCATAGAAAGAATTGGTCTTTCAAACAGACTTCGTCAATATTCTTGTCTCTTCCTAATCATGTATTTTAGCATTTTTCTTTTGCCACTTCATTGATCTTTATGCTTTCTTTGTTAAAAAAAAAAAAATGTTAAATGACATATTTCCCTGTTTTCTATATGAGGTGTATTCCCACTTAGTAAGATGAGCTGCAGGCTTAAATAGTAAACAGTGAGAAACTTAAATCACCCTGGTTTCCGTCTTCACATGTATTGTAAAAATGGCGTCAGCTCCCCTGTAGCCCCAGCTGCTCTGGAGGGTGAGGCAGGAGGATCACTTAAGCCTCTGTGACAGAATAAGACCATGTCTCTCTTAAAAAAAAAAAAAAAAGGCCTAGGTAATTGTTAAGGGGCAGCAGCTTATTCACTACTTCTCTTCGCTCTATAATATCCTTAGCAACTTTGGATTCAAAAGCTGTTAGTGTCTCTGTCAGTTCTGTGTTGTCTCCCATCCTTTTAAAGGGGGTATTTATAGGTGCACCACAGTAAATCAGTATCCGTGATATTCTTTAATTTCTTAACCTCTTCAGTTGTTCATCTTTATGTTTCAGTATCCCTGAACTAAAATGCAACTAAATTTGTCTTATTTTTTGCTGGGCACAGTGGCTCACGCCTGTAATCCCAACACTTTGGAAGGCTGAGGTGGGCAGATCATTTGAGGTCAGAAGCTCGAGATCAGCCTGGCCAACATGGCAAAACCCCATCTACCGAAAATACAAAAATTAGCCGGGCATGGTGGTGCACACCTGAAGTCCCAGCTATTCGGGAGGCTGAGGCACAAGAACCGCTTGAACCCAGGAGGCGGAGGTTGCAGTGAGTCAAGATCATGTCACTGCGCCACTGCACTCCAGCCCGGGCAACAGAGTGAGACCCTGTCTCCAATAAATAAATAAATAAATATTAATTTTTGAACTGCACATATACATATAACACACTGTGGGAAAGTTTGGCAGTTCCTCAGAATATTAGATACAGAATTATTATATGATCTGGCATTTCAGCTCCTAAGTCTACACCCAGAAGAACTGAAACAGGGACTCAGACACTTGTGTGCCTGTGTTCATGGCAGCCTCTGTGGAAACAGCCCAAGTGTCTGCCAGCAGATGGATGCATGCACAAAATGTAATACACACACACACACACACACACACGCTGAAACATGTGGTAACATGATGGGCAAATACTGTGATTCTGCTTATCTGAGGTGCCCAGAATAGACAAACTGGTAAGAGGAAGACAGTAGAGTAAGGGCTACCAGGGATGGGGATTAGTGTTGGGTGGATCCCGAGTTTCTGTTGGGTGTCATGGAAAGTTCTGGAGATGGAGACTGGTGGTGGTTGCGCACCGTTCTGAATGTTATTCAGTGCCACTGAATTGTACCTTTGAAGGGGTTAAAATGGAAAGTTTTTATTTAAATGTTGCCACTTAACATTATGTGGAGAACAATAACTTCATACTGCTCGAGTTTGACAATGTATATAAATTAAGTTAGCAGAGACCCAGGTTTCTGTGAAATTCTTAAAACCTTTTTGATGCCTCTTGCATAAAAGTCTTCCCATGTTACCACTGCAGGCCTTGCTGAAATGTTCTCTTTCTGTTTATTTCCAGGGGATGGAGGTATGTTCCACAACTCCTCGTGGCCGAGTGTGTACGGCTTGTTGTAGTGGTGATGGCTGCAGACATTTTGAGTTGTTTTGGTAGGCGCTTGACGTTAGCGTTGTTTTCACTTGCACTTTGTCTGTTTAGAATTTGTGGAAGTCATTTCTTTACCCAAGAATGACCTGCTGCAGAGACTCCATGGTAAGCATTCTCCAGACCGCCACCCAGCTTTCTCCAGTTTCCCCGTCCCCATCCCAGCAAATTGGGTACTAAATATAACTCTGTATCTTTCTCTTTTTGATACCACTAAAGTCAAATGCCTAGCAACTTGTAAAACTTGCGGGCGACCACTACTAATTTTCCTTTCTGGGTGGCACAGAGTTTGAAAGTAGGAGCAAAGCATTCTGGGTCAAGTGCAAACTTTTGGTAGGGGCTTTTTCTCCTACACAGCGGCCCAAATGACATTCCTGCTGAGTAGCCAAAACGATTCTACACTTTAAAGCTTCAATCCATAGCGATGCAAAGGTGTGGGTAGAGAAGCTGTTAGCTTTTCCTCGCGTATGCTAGTATGAGGGACAATCCTTTGTGGAGGCTATATGTTCAAGGAGAAATTGATGATACTCCAACAAATACTCGAGGTATTTCCTGTATACTTGGTGATACGCTTTTCACATAATAAACCAGACTAGCCGTGTGGCCCTTAGAAATCACTGATCATAGGCCGGGCGCGGTGGCTCACGCCTGCAATCCCAGCACTTTGGGAGGCCGAGGCGGGCGGATCACAAGGTCAGGAGATCGGGACCACGGTGAAACCCCATATCTATTAAAAATACAAAAAACTAGCCGGGCGTGGTGGCGGGCGCCTGTAGTCCCAGCTACTCGGGAGGCTGAGGCAGGAGAATGGCGGAACCCGGGAAAGGGGAGCTTGCATGAGCGAGATTGTGGCACTGCCACTCCAGCCCTGAGACAGAGCGAGACTCCGTCAAAAAAAAAAAAGAAAAAGGAAATCACTGGTCATGGAGATGCATTGTATACTTCCTGGCCCACCATCTTTTAGGGACCTTGGTAAACAGTAGGTAAAAGCTTACGAGAGAAAACTCCTTTGATAAAACCACGGGAAGGAAAGACACCGTATGGAGACGCGGCATGGGCCTTTCAAGGAGCGCCTCCCTCCGGGCCGGCAAATCCCTGCCACTCATAAAGAAAGAAGCCAACACTTTTCATCACGGGAATATTTTACTGGGTATAAGTGTTTTAGGTAATTGACACCTGATTTTTCTACTGTTTTTAAGTGATTACTTCAAATGTGACTTGAAGCATTGTTTGGCCTGAAGCTTTAAGACCAGTTTCTTAAGCTTTTCCCTGAGCGTCAGCGGCTTACGGTTTCACTGAATAAGCAGGGCGCCTGGTTTTGAAATGTCTGTTATTTGTTTGAAAATCTGAGTGTGTTTTTCAAAGGCTGCTGTGATTTATTTGGATAAAATCAGATTTCAGATCCCTCGACAGCTTCCACTCCGGCTTCACCTTTCCAAAAACTAGATCTGAGGTAGAGGCCACCTCGACAGCTCAAAGCCAGAGTTAGAACAATCATACTGAATAGATACAATAATTTATCTGGCATGTATTTCGAGAAAGGCGTGACAATCAGTACGAGGCAGCGCAGCTCAGAGTCACAGGCCCGACTCGGTTTGAGGCTCCGCGGACCATAATTAGCTGTCACGTCAAACAGGTTCCGAAGCCTCTCTCGGTGTTACGCAAAAGCCGAGCCGGGAACAATGCTGAGCCCCTGTAATTCAGCCCTCGCCCGAGCGCTAGTCTGGGACTACAGCCGGCCTGCCAACACCGTACCTTGGGAGGCCGAGCGGTGCATCACTAGGCTCAGGAGATCGGAGCCATCCTGGGCTACATGTGAAACCCGCCCGTCTCTACTAAAATACAAAAAACTAGGGCCGGGCTGTGGGGAGGCCCTGTAGTTCCCAGCACTCGAGAGCGTAAGGCCAGGAGAATGCGGAACGGCTGGGAGCGGAGCCTTGCAGTGGAGCCGAAGTCGCGCCACTGCACTCCACCCTGGGCTGACACAGCGCGAGACTCCGTCTCAAAAAAAAAAAAAAAAAAAAAAAAAAAAAAAAAAAAAACAGAAAAAAGC